TCCAGTGCTGCATCAATTTGCTGCTTCTCTGGATAAGGTCCCACATTCTATTTGTGCATTCCTCTCTTGATGGTCCTAGGGTCCTCTGTTTCTGGACTATAAGATTAACCACTCCCATTTTTTTGTTACAAAACTTATACCTTTACAAGTGTGACGGTTGCGATTGGTCATGATAACAGTTATTCACTGTTGAATCTTACAAATCTTTTCCCCATCTCCTTTCACCAGCCCCATCTAGACAAGATGATAGCTATTCAGCGGGGACTCTTTCTTTTCCCCCACCCTCTTAAACTAAGCTCCCTCTTGAAACCTTGTAAGCCAGTCACTTCGTGCCTTTATTGCCCCCTCATTTTAGGTAGCCAGTGTCTAAGTTGCCCGTTCCTATCTACCCTGTGTACAGAGTGGATAGCATTGAAACTTGATTTGAAGACTCTTTCCCTCTCTGTTGGTATCTAGAGTAATTACCGCTCTGAGTATAGGTCAGGTTCATCATGAACATGTGTTTTCTGTCACTGTAGCTGTTCTAGTCTGCTTGTCCTTTCTAGTGGGAATGTATCACCTCACAAGGTTGTGGAGGGGACTCAGGATTCCACCTAAGGTCCTATACTGTGTAAAGGCTTTGCATGAGGCCTATTTCACTGGGCAAGTTGTAGAACTCCTTTTAAGTATTCCAATAAGTTATTGGCTGAAGGCGGGCTTACAAGTTTTCTCTAATCAAGTTTCCCAACATTCCTTTCTATCCCACTCAAGAGTCTATTTTACAATAGTAGGCAAAGGAAACTAATATTAATAAGGCAGTCAAGGATTTCAGTATTATTTACCCTTTTCAAGCAATACCTAGATCCCTGTATCCCAGAGGTTGAGTATGCATCACTATTTACCTCTGTCCCACTAGGCCATGCAAACCTGTCTCAGTGTTCCCCTATCCATCTTGTTCTTCTGCTTCCTCCCCTGTTCTTGTATTGCCCTCCCCAACACCAAAAATAACCCCACCGTACCCCAACCCCATTGTGGTTACCTTATATTCCATTAGTTCTTCCCTCCATTTAAGATAGTCTATTTTATTCAGTAATCTACCTGACCTTCTTACCACCTGGATCTCTGTGTTTACCTTTTTTCACATTGTAATTGTTTTGATCATAGACTGACCTCCCAGATCCTATGTTCTTATTATTTTATTCTGTTCTTGACTCTTTCATTTGTTGACTGAATTCAGGTTGATACTGCCATGTATGTCATGCTGTAGTTGTTATGTGTTCTTGTTGATTCTCAGTCCACAGAACTTCCTTTAGGATGTTTTTCATAGCAGGGTTGGCTTTGGCAAAATCCCTTAGCTTCTGCTTATCCTGGACTGTTTTGATTACACCATCGTATTTGATTGACAGCTTTGCTGGGTAGAGGATTCTTGGGTGGCAGTTTTTTTCTTTCAGGGTTTTATATATCTCTCCCCATTGCCTACTTGCCTGCATGGTTTCTGCTGAGAAATCTGAGCTTAATCTGATTTGCTTGCCTTTGTATGTTATATTTCTTTTTTCCCTAGCTGCTATCAAGATGCTGTCTTTATCTTTGATTTTGGAGAGCTTGATTATTATATGTCTTGGTGATTGTCTTTTAGGGTCTATCCATCCTGGGGTTCGTTGAGCTTCTTGAATGCTTTATCTTTTCACTTTTCATGATTTAGGAAAATTTTCTTCCAGAAGCTCTTCAACTATCTCCTCTTGTGTGATTGTTCCTGTTCTGGAATGCCAATAATTCTTATGTTATTCCTCTTCATGTTATCCAACATGAATCTTAGGCCTTCTTCGGATTTTTTTTATCCTTTTTTGTATTTGTTCTTCTATCTTAGTAGTGTTGAGAGATTTATCTTCTAGCTCACTAGTTCTAGCTTCTATCTCTTCAATTCTATTCCTTTGCCCTTTAATGTATTGTCCATTTCTGACATTCTATTATTAATCATTTGGACCTCTTTCTGTAGGTTTTGAATTGTTTCCAGTGCTCTATCTTATTTGTTTGTTCCTGTAGCACTTTCCTGACTTCTTCCTCATTTTTCTCAACTGCATTGTATAGTGTTTTGATATCTTTTATCATTTTTAGGAATTCCTTCTCAGGCATTTCCAAAGCCTGCCCATCTTCTAGTATGGAGTGTAGGTCTACTTCCAGCTCATCTGCCTCGGTCACTTTATCTTGTTTCTGGACATGTGCAGATATGGTCATCTGCTTCTGTTTTTTGGGCATCTTCAGGGGTTATCTGTGGACTTAATACTTAGATGGATACGTATTTTGGTATTTTTTAATGCTTTCTGAATGCCTCCAGGTAGATGTGATCAGGAAATGGGCTTCCCTTTTGACTCTTCTTCCTGAGAAGTTTCAAGATACCATTTTTGGTCGTTTTGATGTAACTTAGAATTTAATTTTGGCCTATTTCCTCTTCTGTCTGCTTGTCCTGCTCCACAATCCCCGTTTAGACCTTTTTTCTAGTTGGAAATAGTTCAGGGCAGGCTGTGGCCATTTGGTTTTAATTTGAAATTGTCTCTTTAAATTTCAAGGAGATCTGTGTGCATGCGTAGTAGAACCCTCCGAGTATGGGGCTGGGGTGCCCACTAGCTCAGGCAACCCTATAGTCACCAGAATGGAGTGCGCAGATAGCAAGGTACCAATGAACAGCTACCAAAAGAAAAGAATGTCCACACCTTTATCTCAGCGGTTCTGCCAGGAGTCTGTGGCCGCTCTGATTCTTCCCCACTTGGTCTCACCCAAGATGGCGGCTCCTGGAGCAGCTGAGTGTACCTGACTAGAAAGCAATAGATTTCTTGCTTGTGCCACAAATTCCCCCAGCTGTGAGCCTTCCAACCTTCTAAATATTCCTTTATATTTGGTTCAGAGTTCTGGGACCAGCTCCTGAGCCTGCTTGGTCAGGTATTCTGTGTTGCTGTTGGCAGAGCTCCTTTACTGTACTTCCACCTGATCTGCCATCTTGTTTGTTCTCATGTATAGTCATTTTTTATGTTATTTAAAAAATGTATTTGCAATGAAGAAGTCATTGGTCCTGCAAAATTCTATCATGTGATCTCCAGCATCGTTTCTATCCAAGGTCGTATTTTCCAACCAGTGATCCTTCCTCTTTGTTTTCAACCGTTCCATTCCAATCACCTGTAGCCATCAATACATCCTGATTGCTTGTTTGATCAATTTCAGATTGAAGAAGGTGGTAGAATTCTTCAATTTTATCACCTCAGATTTTAGTGGTTGGTGCGTAATCTGATTAATAGTGGTATTACTGGTCTTCCTTGTAGGCGTATAGATATTATTCTATTACAGTGTTTTACTTCAAGATAGATCTTGAAAAGTTACTTTTGATGATGAATGCAATGCCATTCCTCTTTGTCATTCCCAGTATAAGCTATGGAACAGCCAAATTAAGTATAGCCAGTATCAATCCATTTCAGCTCAGTAATGCCTGTGAAACGGATGTTTATGAATTCCATTTCATTTTTGACAACTTCTAAATATCCTAGATTCATAATTTATACATTGCATGTTCCAATTATTAATGGATATTTACAGCTGCTTCTCCTCAACTTGAGTTGTGCCCCATCAGCACATCAAAGTCCTGAAAGTTTATTCCATTCAAGTCATCACGGTTAACTCTACTTTTATGAGGCAACTCTTCCCAAGTCATATTTTGAGTGCCTTCTAACCTGAGGGGCTCATCTTCTGGCACTATTATCTTACAATAATCTGGTGCTCTTCATCATGTTTCAATAGTCAATATTCTGGTGCTGACAATGTTCCACTACAATTCAAATGGTTTTCAGTGAGTTAATATTCGGAAGTAATATGTCTCTCCTTCTTCCTAAGGTTGTTCAACTTCCTGGAAGTTCAGCTGAAACCTGTTCGCCATAGGTGACCATGATATTTAAAATACCAGTATATAGCTTCCAGAATCACAAGCCACCACAGTACGACAAACTGACAGATCAGTGATGGAACATTATTTTGTTGTTAGGTGCCATTAAATTGGTACTGACTCATAGCAACCTTATGCACAGCAGAATGAAATACTGCCCAATCCTGGGCCAACCTCACTAATGCTGCCATGCTTGAGTCCAATGATGCTGTCACTTTTCCAATCCATCTAGTTGGGGGTCTTCCTCTTTTCTCTGACCCACCACCTTACCAAACATGATACCCTTTCCCAGCAACTGGTTCCTCCTGACAATATGTCCAAAGTATGAGAGACAAAGTTTGGCCATCCTGGCCTCCTTGGGTGCTCTGGCTGCATTTTTTCCAACACAGATCTGTTGGTTCTTTTGGCAGCCCATGGCACTTTCAATATTCTCCTCTAAAACATTATAGGATAATATAAATGCTATCTATCTTGATTGAAATGTGGTAATACAGGTGTACATATTGATCCAAACTCAAAACATCCAATTTTACATTTAAGTACACTTTACTATATATAAATTATAATTTAGCAAACATGCCCTCCCACCCCTGAAAAAAGTAGTAACAATCAAAGAATACAGTCTACTTGTTAAAAATCATTTAAATATATGATGAAAAGGATAAAACAAAATAAAACTATAATGTGAATAGTATGATATATGAAGACAATATTATGTAGATCCAGAAGAAAAGCTTCTGTGATGATATACTCTACTTCAAAAATCTAGAAGTGGTTCAAAACTCAAAAGAAAAATTTCCCAATTAATTTACTTGACTATACCATACAAACAATAAGAATAACATCAGAGGCTCACTAGAATCATCTAAAGTAATACTATAAGATATATTCGGTTCTATGAGTTACACATAATACTAAAAAGAGCAGAATGGCTTAACTAGGAGATCAAAGAATAAATCACTACTGGTCATCTGGACTAATAATTGAAAATGTAACATGAAAATGTATTCACACACACCAAAATTGTTTTCACATGCAAATCAAGATTGTTTTCTTACTCAGTACTTCCATTTATTATGAGAGCTCATCCTACCTTACAAGAGAATCACTTCTTTTGTCAGATCTAACAAGGAGGACGACTTTCCATCTGTGAAAGGCTCCTGGAGCTCCAGTGCGCTTTAATTCTTCCCGCCATCTCTTAGGCGCAGATTGCATTTGAGGTGAATAATGGGAGTCTTTTTCAATTTTATATCCCCATTCGTAGGTTGTTTCATCAAGCCATCTGCCACTTTTGGCACTGTGAATTATGTAGTCCTTAGTTAGTACCCACTTTCCTGGAAAGCAAATGAACTGTTATACACGAAGCAATTCTGGTTTTGATAAGTGGTAAACAATAAAGATCAAATATTAAATAAATTTCAACCTTTCCCAACATGGGATTACATTGCCAACATTTTCATACTGTTTTTCTACAGTACTTGATAATGAGAAGCGTGTCTACACCATCACTGAACATTGTATATAATCTTTACCACAACAAATAATAATTACAAGTGTTGTAAATAAAATATAAATATAAGGTTTCGAATTCTATGATAAAATGTAGTATTAATTGAATTTCTATTATTATTATTCACAATTTTAGCCTGATGCATATTTTTCTTTCCACTTTGCTACTAGACTTTTCCAATAATGCTCACAGCATTGTAAATTTGAAAAACAAATTTGGTTAAGTTAAAGAATTTCTCAATATAGTTAATACTACTTTGTAGTTTTTCTTGGAATCAATAATTTTTGCAAGCAGTAAGGGAAATGCATGCATTCATTTGTTGCTTTTCTGCTAAGATACTCTAAAGATAGTATATCACCCTAGTTAAACAAATATACTTTTTGGATTGCCTGTTTTACTTTGCTTTGGTTTTGCCACCAGTGGCTATCTAATGATCTGTAAGAGCAATCACAGTGAACTGCAGAAGGAATATCAATGGTGACAAAGGGAGACAGGAAGAGATTTTGATATTATTTTGGGTTTATGGGACTTAATATCTTGGGAAAATAAAACTACACAACCACTGCTCCATAGCATGAATGGGAGGGAGAGAGGTAGTGGGTAGGGAGAAGTGAGAACCCAAAAGCACTGTTTCCAAAGATAAATCATACAAAAGAAACTTTACTGAGAATAGGTGAGATTTCAACAAAAGCTTGTGTAGTTCCAAATCTTTTACTTAAAGACCACAAAGCCACTAAATTATTAGTGCAGTAAATGTTTCTTTAAAAATGCCTATCTTAATACATTTTCACAAATTATAAAATTCTACTCAAAAAATAATAAAAGAAAAATACCTTTTGTCAAACATATTTTTTGGGAAAAAAATAAGAATAAAACACATTTATATGTGATATAATAAGCATGCAATTTTTCTAAAGTTTAAACTTTCCTAGTAAGGTACATTTTTCTTTAGCAGAAAGATTTTTGTTTAGGGCAGGGCAATAAACTTACCTGCTGCACAAGCTGCTAAAAATTTTTCACTTTTGCACAGGCGTTCAGCTATAAGATGCGTACAATTTTTGTATTTCTAGAGGAGAAGACCCATGTGAAGAAAAGTTATTAAAGTAATACTTTCTTTATATCTTTAATCTTACATAACACTGGGATACATTATCATTTTTAGGATAATATTTTACTTTTAGAGCTATAGTTGTAGCTTATGGTAAGTAAGTTTCTATACTCACCTCACTCTTAATAAAAGTGCAATCTAGTTTTAAGAGCAATTTGCCTAAAGCTTCCTTTTCTTCCATCCTAAATCCTGTCATCTGGATGATATGCTTTGGAGTAACTTCCATCTAACACATACACACATAAAGAAAATAACATATAAACATATTATTTAGTGTTGACATTTGTTCTTAACTATGACTATGAAAAGTGAAAACTAAAATATATATTGAATATATGGCAATTATAAATATCAATTTGAAAGTTATTTATGTAATTTTCTAGTTTTAAAAATAATCTCAAAATGTGTTATGTTGTTGCTGAGTCTGTTCTGATTTATAGTGGTCCTATATATAGGAAACTCTATTTATAGGAAGCCCTATATATAGGACCTCTATAAATCAGAACAGACTCAGCAACAACATAACACATTTTGAGATTACTTTTAAAACTAGAAAATTATGTAAGGTTTCCGGAGCCCTGGTGTGGTACTGTGGGTTAATGCACCAGACTGAAAAGCCTTTTGAACTGCAAGGTTGGTAGTTCAAGCTCACTAGCTGCTCCTTGGAAACCCTATACAGGGTCGCTATGGGTCGGAACTAATTTGATGCACTTCACAACAACAACACAACATATAGGGTTTCCAAGGAGTGGCTGGTGGGTTTGAACCACTGATCTTGAAGTTAGAAGTCCAGTGCATATTCTACCGTGCCACAACAGAATACCAGAAATAGTTACACTTTTTATTTTTTTCTGGCTTGAAATTTGAAAGGTTGCATTACTATACTACTTGCACTAAAGAATGAATATAAATCTATAGAAAGGGATAAATATTCACAAAGGTTCAGTGAATTATTTAATGTCTCTTCTAGCTATAGTTTTTGTAACTCCCACCAAAAGGCTTTTTCCTGATGGGTCTAGGCAAAAGATGAAGGATGATACTGGCAGGATTATACAATTCACTTGTTAACAGGGATAATCAAGATTGTGAAAATGTGGAATGCTAACGTGGGGATTAATCGATAATGCTATCCTGTTGGGTATAAAATGAGTCATCTGAGCAGCAGCAGTTGGGAAGAATCTTACTACCAAGAAAACAGCAGCAGAAGTAGAGTTCGTCCTTTGGTCCTCAATTCCTATGCAGGGAATTGTTTCAACTTCCTTGAAACAAAAAACAGAGCCGTGACAGCAGAGAAGTGGCAGAGAAACAGCAGTATAGCAAGCAGAACCAAGTGCCACAGCACAAGAGCAGTGTGCTTCCTGGTCCAGGAAGCAAGTATAGCTTAGTGCATTCAGGAGTGAGGCTGGCTTGTCTCCATGCACTTCATTGGGGGAGCTATATATTTGCTGATCCCTAACCCCTTTATCTCCTACCCCTCCACCTCTCCCACCGTTGAGCTAAAGCTGAGTACTTTTGGCTGAGGTTTAAAGTGGACTGAAATGCCTGTGTGGCATTTATCATCAGCGTATAAAGCTCTGTAGTGTTGTTGGATGAGGGCAGAAATTGAGAGGCTGGCTGGCCGAGGGGCCAAGGGCCATGGAGAGGTGTGACTGTGGTCGTGTTAGAGAAGAGGCAGTCCTGAATGAAGAACTGTCTTCAGCATTTCTGATCCTGAATTGTACCCTGCTGACTTGCCTAATCCATCACTCATGTGTCAGTCTGTCATACTATACTGTGGTGGCTTGTGTACTGATATGATACTAGAAGCTACTCCACCAGTACTTTAAATACCAATGGAGTGCTGTGGTTGAAAAGCACTCGACTGCAAGGTTGGTGGTTCAAATCACCAAGCTGCTCCTCGCAAACCATATATTGGGTCGTTATGAGTCAGAATGGACTTGGCAGCACTTAACAACAGCAACAACATGGTCAACCATGGTGAACAGGTTTCAACTGTGCTTCCAGACTAAGGCAAACAAGGAAGAGGGGAGGCGGACTACTTACTTCTGAATGTTTAGACACTGAAAACCTTATTAATAACAGTGGAACACAATATTGACACATTATGAATAGAACCAGAATAATGTCAGATACAGTGCCAGAAGATGAGCCCCTCAGGTTGGAAGACATTCAAAATACAACTGAGGAAGAGCTGCCTCCTCATAGTTGACCATGATGATGTGAATGGAATAAAGCTTAGGACCTTAATTTACTGATGCGGTACAACTCAGAATGAGGAGAAACAGCTGAAAATATCCATCAATAATCGGAACATGGAATATACAAAGTATAAATCTATGAAAACTGTAAGTTGTCAAAAATGAAATGGAATGCATAAAGATCAATATTCTAGGCATCAGTGAACTGAAATGGAACATTGTGAATCTGACAATCATATGGTTTACTATGCCAGGAGTAACAAATTGAGGTGGAATGGCTTAGCATTCATCATCAAAAAGACTATTTCAAGATCTAGCTTGACATACAATGGTATTTGTGATAGGATAATATCCATACACCTACAAGGAAGACCAATTAATACAACTCAAATTTATGCATCAATCACTAAAGCCAGTGATAATAAAATTGGAGAATTCTACCAACTTCTTCAGTATGAAGTTGCTCAAAGAAGCAATCAGGATGTATTGATCATTACTGGTGATTGGAATGCAGAGGTTCGAAACACAGGAAGGATCAGTAGTTTGAAAATATGGCCTTGATGACAGAAATGATGCTTGAGATCACATGATGAAATTTTGTTAAGACCAATGATTTATTAATTGCAAATACTTTTAAACAACATAAAAGATGATTATACACATGGGCTTCACCAGATGGAATACACAGAAATCAAACTGACTATAGCTGTGGAAAGAGATGGTGAAAAATCTCCATATCAACAGCCAAAACAAGGCCAGAGGCAGACTGTGGAACATATCACCCATCAATTGCTAATACGCAAGCTCAGGCTGAAGCTGAAGAAAATTAAAACAAGTCCATGAGAGTCAAAATATGACCATGAACATATCCCACCTGAATTTAGAAATAATTTCAAGAACAGATTTGATGAATTAGACACTAATGATTGAAAACCAGAAGAGTTGTGGAGTGACATCAAGAACATCACACACGAAGAAAGCCAAAGGTAATTAAGATGACAACGAAGGAAAAGACTAAAATGGATGTCGGAAGAGACTCTGAAACTTGCTCTCCAACATAGAGATGCTTAAGCAAATGGAAGAAATGAGAAAATAAAAGGGCTGAACAGATAATTTCAAAGAGTAGCTTGAGAAGACAAAACTCAAGTAGTATGATAAAATGTGCAAAAACTTGGAGTTAGAAAACCAAAAGGGAAGCAAGAATACACCCAGTATTTCTCAGACTGTTAAAACTAAAAAAAAAAAAAAAAAAAAAATTCAGGCCTCGATTTGTAGTACTGAAAGATTCTATGGGCAAAATATTGAAATGATGCAGACACCATCAAATAAAGTTGTTAGAAATATAGAGGTACTGTACCAAAAAAGATACGTTTGATAACCAGCCACTTCAAGAGGTAGCATATGATCAAAAACCAATGGTAGTGAAGGAATAAGTTCAAGGTGCACTGAAGGCAATGTCAAAGAACAAAGCTCCGGGGAATTGATGGAATACAAATAGAAATCTTTCAACAAACTAATGCAGCACTGGAGGCACTCACTTATACCAAGAAATTTGGAAGACATCTGCCTGGCCAACTGATTGGAAGAGATTAATATTTGTGCCCAAGAAAGAGAGGTGATCCAACAGAAAGGGAAAATCATTGAGCAATACCATTAATATCACATGTGAGCAAATTTTTGCTAAAAATAATTCAGAACTGGTTGTTACCAGTACACTGACAGGGAAGCCAGAAATTCAAGCTGAATTTAGATGAGGACCGGAATGAGGGATATCAGTGCGGATGTTAGATGGATCTTGGCTGAAAGCACAGAACACCAGAGAGATGTTTACCTGAATTATTGACTATGCAAAGGCTTTTGATTGTGTGGATCATGATACATTTTGGGTAACATTGCGATGAATGGGTATTACAGAACATTTAATTGTGCTCGTGAGGAACCTGTACATAGACCAAGAGGCTGTCATTTGAACAGAACAAGAGGATATTGAGTGGTTTAAAATCAGAAAAGGTGAGCGCTAGTAGTGTATTTTTCACCATAGTTATACAATCTGTATGCTAAGCAAATAATCCAAAATATGAAGAACAATGCACCAGGATTGGAAGAAGATTAACAAACTACGATATGAATGTGCTTACTGAATGTGAAGAGGACTTCAAATACTTACTGATGATGATCAAGACTTCAGTACAGATCTTACCTCAATATACAGAAAACAAAATTCCTCTACACTGGGCCAATAAATAACATCAAGATAAATGTTGAAAAGACTAAAGTTATGAAAGACTTCATTTTGTTTCAATCCACTATCAACACTTATGGAAGCAGCACTCAAGAAATCAAATGATGTATGACACTATGCAGATCTGTTGCACAAGACCTTTTTTTTTTTTCCCCTCTAAGCAACTTTATTTAAATATACTTAACATTGCTTAACTTTTTTTTTTTTTAAGTTTTTATTGTGAATTGAGTGAAAGTTTACAGGGCAGATCATCAGTTTTACATTCAACAAATTGCACAAGACCTCTTTAAAGTGTTTAAGAGCAAAGATGGCAGTTTGAGGACTAAGGTGACCTGATTCAAGCCATGGTATTTTCAGTAGCTTCATATGCATGTCAAAGTTGGACAATGAATAAGGAGGACTGTAGAAGAATTGATGAATTTGAGTTGTGGCATTGTAGAATATTGACCATGGTCTGCCAGAAGAACAAACAAATTCATATTTGAATAACTGTAGCCAGAATGGTCCTTAGAAGTCAGGATCTCGAGAATTGTCTGTCACACTTCTGGTGTGTGTAAGCACAATATTATCAGGAGGAACCAGTCCCTGGAGAAGGATATCATGGTTGATAAACTGGACCGTAAGGTTGGCAGTTGAAGCTCCCCAGCTGCTCCTCAGAAACCCTACACAGGGTCACTATGAGTTGGAATTGACTCGATGACACTCAACAATAACAAAAAGTGGAGGGTCAGCAGAAAAGAGGAAGCTCCCCAACAAGAATGGATTAGCAAAGTAGCAGTAGCAAAG